TGGGCCCGTGAGCCATGGCCGCTGGGCCCGCGCGTCCAGAGCCTGTGCTCCGCGGCGGGAGAGGCCACAGCAGTTGAGAGGCCCCATACCGCAAAAGAAAAAAAAAAAAGAATCACACAGGGTGAGGTGTCAGCCTTGCTAAAAATGCAGAATTTTGTCCCTATCTTTAGACGGTTTACTTGAAAAAAGTCTTGACTGGGACCCAAAATACTACCCTGAAAGCAAAACCATGACTAGATATCCATGATAAGGGCAACAACAAAACTAAGATGCTATTAAAGCTAAAGTTTTTATCTATAAAGGATGAGTAAATTAATTATCTATACTTTTGAATGCGTGCTTTATCTTTTTTAAATTTAACTTCTATCCTCATTAAAATTCTTATTCATTGAAGAATCTGTCCAAAAAAATGCACACCGAATACCTTTTGAATAAAAATTACAAATCTTTCTATTAGATTGAACGAATACCAGTAAGCATCTGAATGAAGAAATCTGCCAACAGTTAAAACTATTAGGTTGAGGAAAGGAGTACTAGCACGTGGAAATATATTAATTAGAAGGAATAACAACACGGAAGGCTGGCTGTACCTGGTAGGGTTAGTTCTTCTAATTCAATCACTGAGCGGTTGCTGCTATAATAGTCCTTCATCAGCTTCTGTAGGTCTTCAGGTGTCCCTGGTTTTGGCTCTGATTTTGCAAGAACATCAGTAATTTTCTTCTGATGAGAAAGAAGTAAAAATGGGAAGACAGATTTTAGGATGGCATTTGGCTTAGGACAGGTTGATTCCTCTGGCATTTAAACTGTAAGTAGGTTCTGTGATAGCCAAGTGTGAATGGGAGTTCTAATAAACACACTTGAGAAAACTTAAAAGATACTTCTTGGACATAACTACTGCTTTGAAAAATGAATGGATGATCTAAAAGGCTCCTTGTAACTCTTGGTCTCTGCTAGGAGAACTAAAAATTTTGCAGGAGTCTATAATAGGGTACTATTTTCTGTTAAAAGTCAATAAATCTTGTTGCTTGTGGAAACCTCCTTTTAAGCCTCAGAAAATGTGTATTCCTGGGAGAGTAGAATTTTGAGAATTTCTTGTGTAACCTGGTTCTTAAGGCACTGAGTTTCAGTTTGGATTTCTGGGATTAAAGTAAGAGTTGCAGGACTAATCTCAGCAAAGGAGGACACTAAATAGGGGCACTTGAGACCCTCAATTCTCAAGTCTTGGGAGAGACATCTTGAATTGGCCCTATGGAAAGCAGAACAGGATACTTTACAACATCTATTTTGATTTGGACTTATTTGTGTAGCATTTACTGAATGCCTGCAATGTACTAGGAATGCACAATTGTTCATTTGACTTTCATCATAAATTTCCCTTCTTATTTCTTCCTAGTATTTCACCAAAACTCCAGAAAGAGCCCTTCCTTGCCTCCTACCCCAGCTTTCCCCCCCTCCTTCCATACTATCTTCCTTTTTATACCACTGCCAAGAACGGTCAAAGTTCTGTCAAATGAATTAACTTTAAAAGAACACGTCATCTGTGGGCACATTTTAGCATGACCTCAGCCAAGGCTAAACTAGCTAGCTGGAGTTCTGACCTTGAACCCCAAGAACTTAACACTCCTGAAGGCCATTAGTGTACAAACTATCAAAGAGAAGTTAAAAGTCGTTTCTTTAAGGACTTGCCAAAACTCAGCCAATTTGGCATTTCCCATCCTCCTATTTGGCCATGTGCAGGCAAGGAAAACATATGCACACACACTGTTTTCTAAAAGCTTGCTGTTAAGTAATTGGTTTGAGTCCATCTTCTTTCCTCTAATCCCAATCGCATTTCCTCTGCTGACTACAGCAGTAGACCCTTCTTGGCAGGGAGAGAATTACACTGCTGTTTTCACAACTGTGGTGGAAGGTCAAAGCTAACCACACTTTCGGGCTTCCCTGGTGGTGCAGTGGTTAAGAATCCACCTGCCAATGCAGGGGACACAGGTTTGAACCCTGGTCCATGAAGATCCCACATGCCACGGAGTAACTAAGCCCGTGTGCCACAACTACTGAGCCTGTGCTCTAGAGCCCACGTGCCACAAATACCGAAGCCTGCGTGCCTAGAGCCCGTGCTTGAAAGCCCGCACACAGCAACGAACACCCAACGCAGCCAAAAATAAATAAATTAAATAAATTTATTAAAAAAGAAAAGCTAACCACACTTTCTTCAAGGCTGAGCCATAAGAAAGTTTGTATAGGAGCAACAGAGTTTTCTGTATGTTCACAGGCAAGTCTTAAAACGCAAGGGGAGCCTTTTGCTTTAAATTATGGTTCGAAATTAGAGTCAGAAATGCCTTATACTTACACTACTTTCATCTGCTTATTATTTTCTTTTTATTAATACTTTAAGACATAAGGTTTTTAAAAATGAAATGGGTAAGAAAAGAAGGTTGGTAAATTTCTTTTCTTGGACAGAGCCAGAGGGGCCAGAGGGCAGGAGAGCTCTGGGCCCCTTCTAGAATTAGAAACCCCTGTCTGACTTCTAACCACAGTGAAAACACAGGGTGGGTAACAAAGATGTTTGGTAATCCACAAGACTGAAATAAGAATTAGAAGAATTTATTTTTAGCTCCAACAGAAACACTTATTACTAGTGACCTTAGGAAAGTCACCAAACCTCAATGAATTTTACAATTTTTGCATATCTAAAGTGGGGATTACAATAATTGCCTCATCAAAGTACACTATATAACAATGTGATAGAAACCATGTGGGGCCGTACCATTGTAAAAAATTATTAGTATTACCTTTTTCCTCTTCCTGGTCTTGGTGGCATCTTCATTTGTTTCCTTTGGTTGTATCAAGAAACATTCTTTAGGCTATAAAGAAATGTAAATGAGAAAACTTTCATCTTAGCATGATGAGGTGTCAACTAATGGTATGAATCCCAAAGTATCAATATCTACTGTCATGCATGTATTCTTCAGAGTATCTTGGTAATATGGACAAAGAAATGTTGGAAAATCCACTGAAGGCTATTATGCAGGGGCCGAGCTGAGAGAATTTGTAAAAGTGAGAAAGTGCAGATGACTCAAGACTGGAAAATCTTTGAACAAAGGTCAAAATGTGTGAGTAAGTGTATATATGTGTTTGAGGTGGTGGTACAGGGTATTAAAGATGGAAGACAGTGGCTAGGTTTGGAAAATAAAGGCAGAAAGAGATGTGATTAAAATTAAGATGTAGTAAAGAAGTCTTTGACTAGAATGACTGGTGTTTCCAGGAACTAGCAATGTGTGAGTCTGTATTTCCAAGTCACTGACATCATTTTGTCATCCATTCCTTTCCTCTTCTCAATAGGCACAGAAAATCTGAAGTAGGGTATATTTACTTATATTTTTATAAAACCAGCTGCACCAAATGTCTTATCTATAGTGACTACAAAATGAATGTTTCTGCTTATGGTCTGACAAAAGCCTCAACACCATGGCATCCTGAGTAATTGATTTTGCCTGTTGCCTTGACCCCTGGAGTACTCTATATAGTTTAGTGCTATTTTTACCCTAAGGATTTGTTTTTTGTTTTGTTTTGTTTTGTTTTAGTGTAGAAAAACAGGAAATTTGGACTAAGACCTTGATTTATAAAATAGAATGCTTCAGATTCCATATTTATTAATCATAGACAGTTATATAAAATGTTTCCTGTATTAGATCTTTTATGCAACATTTTCAAACAAGTTGCCAAGTAAGACATAAAATATAAGTGAAAACTTATTCTGAGTTTTTTTCTTGATTAAGTTTCCATTCCAACTAGAGAGTACTCAGTTTAAGCTGGTAAACTACTAACTAAAGCAATCTTGTCTCTACTGGCTCTGTTTAAAATGACTACAGATGAAGCTTTCTATTAAAGTTTCCAGAGAGCCTGCAGATTAAGAATGCCTGTGGCCTGAATCCAGAGAGATATAATGCTATGTAATTTCTTCAAGACATGGGGCCAGGACCAGCAGTTTCTAGACTCTGTTTCAGTTATAGAGAAGTAGATTCAAAAGGCTCAGGATTAAAGTAATATGGGAATCTTGAAATTTCAGCTGCTTCTCAGTTAAAAGAAAAAACCTGCACAGTACAGTTGCATCATAGCTAAAGAAAATAGATATTAGGACCTCTCTTATTTAGAAAGTTAAGCTGTCTTGTGGATGCAGATACACGCTAATTTGATGCCAATTAGAAACTGGGCCAAGGCCACTAATATGTCACAGAAGCTGCCAGACAGTCATAAGAGTCCAATTACAGATCAAGCCAACATCAGCTCATGCTGCTATGGCAAAGGCCTGGATACAATTAGTATCTCCCTAGATCCCTCAAGGCATACTTCAGTATCTTGTCCCCATTATGAAGGTTTTGGGGGGAAGCAGATGTATAACCTGTTTCATTTTCTTATTTAGCAAATGGGGGTGCTCTCTAAGAGTATGTTCAATGTGCGGGGTTTGTATTTATGCCAGGTTTACAAAGCCAGTTAAACATGACACAAATTAAATGTGGAAATGAGCTCAGTTATAAGGATATGGACTCTCCAATTCTGGAAGAAAAAATAAAAACACAATTCTGAATCATGCAAAGGAAAAAAGAAACATGCTTGACAACTGCTTTTGTCAAGATACCGTAACAGGTTTACATGCTAGGTTCAAATTCTTACATCATCTTAAAGGAAATGCAGTATGATATTTGTTTTCTGAGAGCAGTCACTTTAGCTGGTTGCAGTAGGGTGCTAATGAAGAAGCAAGTTTATGGGGTCAATTTCCACAGAAGTGAGACTCTACTTTATGAAGAAATACAAAGCCCATAGTATTGAAAATTCCTAAACGTTGCCAGCTGCCTTACAAATGCTGATGTCTACCCTCAGAGAGACTAGGTAAGATGAGGAAGACTCCAGGGTAGGCCAACTAACCATTTCTAGAAACTGATTCCAACAGTATCTGACTTTGGCAGTTAATAAGTAATGTCATTTCTTTATGCAGTGATTTTTAAATATGTACCCTGAGTATGAAGTTAAAGATTTAGAAGAATCACACTTGCCCAAAAATATACCAAAAAAAACTTATTAAGCTTTCAGTGAAGCAATTAATTGGGGCATGTTTTCAATTCCTTAAAGTGTCAAAAATTATATCCTTTAAGAATGAGTCTTCTGGTTTTAAGCATGGCAGATCATTTTTAAAACGCTACTAAAATGAAAATAAAGGAGGGACTTCCCTGGTGGCGCAGTGATTAAGACTCCATGCTCCCAATGCAGGGGGCCCAGGTTCTGTCCCTGGTTGGGGAACTAGATCTCACATGCATGCTGCAACTAACAGTTCGCATGTGTCTACTAAGGAGCCCACGAGCCGCAACTAAGGAGGCCACCTGCTGCAACTAAGACCTGGCACAACCAAATAAATAAATAAATATTTAAAAAAAATGGAAAATAAAGGAAACTGAAAAAGATATAAGTCTATAAGGACCAAGAAACCAGGAGAAAGGACAACAGTAGTGGAGAGATTTCAACAACTTTTTGGAAAATGGAACGGGTTGAAACTGGATGGAAGCTATTTAGCATAGGGAGAGAGACATCTAGCACCTGGGTTTCTAGAGAGGCAGATGCAAACAATAAGTGTGTCTGTTTCACCTGTTGGACTCTGAAAAGGTTCAGCA